AGTAGTTTGTTGCTCAGAACATAAAGTTGTCAGTCACCTTTGTCTGTGTGGTAGTTGAGAACTTCATTGCATACTTCTTCTTAAACTCGGATCTCCACATTTCTGGCCTATATGCACAACTTGTGCAGGATTACATCAGACATTACATTTACTAGAAAAACAGTTATTCCATGTGTAGCATTCCGTATCTTTGAAAAGTTCCACTAAGACATCAAAAATCACAGAGCAAATTCTTCCTGCCGTATGAAAAATCACATTTCTGTAAAGATAAGGGTTTGGTAGTAATGAGATTTGAGAACACAAGAACCGGTGTGCACAAACTTCCACAAATTTGGATTAATTGTATTACTTTTTTCTATCTTTTGAAGAAAATAGGAATTTGTGTTTATTTTTTGTTCACACTCCCAATAACAGCGATTCCTTTTTTAAACATAGGCAAAAAAGGAAAAAGAGATGGCTTATGGGACATTTAGATGCACAAATCATTTTGTTAAGAACATACAAGCTGAGACTACAGAGAGACAGCGAAAGAAAAGAAATAAGCCAGAAAAGAGCCACTCTTGCACTGTTTTGGTGATAATCCAGTGTGTTATTTTCCTTGTAAAAGCTTTTTCTTGCTTCTCCCCCTGTCAAGAAGTACCTGTCCTTAAAAGAACCTGGGAAAATTAAAAAAAACAAGAGGAAAAACATACTCTGATCCCATATTTTTAGCCTAGATTTAACTACTTAGCAGCAGTGTGCAGATCTGGCAAATGCACTACTACTGTCTTTGTACGGTTTCTTGCTTCTCTTCTGCTAATTGAACTGTGTGATTAAATAAACGGATGTTGAGTCATAGCAGTTTTTATGACACCTTCCGCACTATTACAATACAGCGTGTCTCTCTCTTTCTCCTTCTCCTCTCTTGTCAGGTGGAGAATCCATCCAAGTTTATTCAAGGCTACCGTGTTTTGTACCGGCAAACTTCAGGGCTGCCCTCCCCAGGGCCGTGGCAGATACAGGACTTGAAGGTTGCCTCAGAGAGGGACATAACTCTCTCTGGTCTGAAGAAAGGCATTGTATATGAGATTAAAGTGCGGCCGTATTTCAATGAATTTCAGGGCGCCGACAGTGAATCCATGACAGCACGCACCATGGAAGAAGGTGAGCCACAAATTAATTCGCATTTCTGATAAAAATTAATTTCTCTGCTGACTTAATGTTCGAAAGAAGTAAGATATGGTTACTAATGCATGAGCAGGAGCTCTTGTGTAAATGTTTCTACCTACTTTCATATTTAGTTGCTCCTACTAATGGCTTCTTGGCTAGATAGGAATGGATAATGGCATTTCAAGTACACCCTCCCACATACGCACACTGCTGCAGTGCTATGTCCCCAGTGTGTGAAAGCAGTTCTCCCAGACAGCGCAGTAGGGCTCTATGACAACCCCGAGCCTCTGTGGGTTGGTGGGCAAAGAGGGCGAGCAGTAAAGCTTAACTCTCTCTCACCTCGTCTGTGCCTGCTGCCATGTCTCTGTCTAAATGTACATGATATGACCTCCCACCTCACTTACACTCACACACCAATGAGCTCTTTGTCTAATTACACTTCCTGGTTTTGTCTTTCTCCTCGTGTTATTCATCGGCTATTTGAAATGTTATTAATATCAGACTTCTCTATTCATTCTCAATTCTTTGCAAACAGGAAATGATAAGAATTATTTGTGCATGCTAATGCTATAATAGAAATTATTTAATGCGGCCAATGCAAACATCACAAGAGATGAACCCCAACTTTTATGTTGGGTTTTCTGTGATCGGAGATGAAAAAGCAGATTGAAGTGAAAGAGACCACAGTGCACAAAGCCCAAAGGTAGAGAATCAGGTCATGGCTGCGACTTCATTTGCTGCATCACTCTCGTTGTGTTTTCACATTGAATGGGCTCTTCACCCCCGGATTCAACCTGTCAGTACAGAGCTTAACTATAAAAATTCTAAGGAGCATTTGAACATTTGGTGGAAACTATCTCAGCTGTGGTGTCAAAAACACTGGCTTTTAGATGCACCAACTCAGCTGTGGAGTGAAGGATCGTAGGCAGGTGGAGAGGAGACAACTTTGAAAGAAATATGCACAAAATTTCAATTGTGCATATGAATCTTACAGGTGGAGTCACTGAATCAGTGCTACTCATTCAGGTTAAAGGATTCATGCTCTCATTGATTCTCATTAACTTTCTCTATACCTTCCAGTCAAATCACCCAATATTTATTATTTAAAGCCCCTGATGTGAAAATTCACTTTAACCTTGAATATGGTTGTGTGACAATCCCAACTAAACATCCACTCACTAGCTTTGTTTTTCACCGAAATTGCAAGCCGTTACCGACTCATCTGAAAATGTGCTAAAAGCAATGAGAGCTACTGTCCTCTCTTTGCAAAAGATCTCCATAACAACTGAGCAAACATGATCGGGTGATACAGGCTATGGCATTAAGGTTAACACCGTTTTCAAATTTAATCAATTCCCCTGAAGGTGAGACTGCATTTTGGACTTCAAGAGTAAAAAAAGTGAATGCACTGTATCAGCATTCATTTACAGCGGCTACATATGTTGCCTGTGGGTGAACAAGACAATATCTTCACTTACTTCATTGCATCATTCAGGGGTTGCATCATTTGAACGGTGTGGAACTTGGCTTGCGCTGAAAAAACAAGTAATGACAAGGCCATTAATGTCAGAGAAAATATTAGCCCAAAGCATCTGTGTTTGATGATGAGTGGATCACAGGGCTGCATCTTCCCCCCAGTAGGAGAACAGGGCTAGCTTAGTCTAGGGGATACAGCTGGTGGAAAAAAGAGAGACTCACCTCACTGGAGCCCAATTAAAATGGCCACACAGGATCACAGAGGTCTTTGCAGATGGGGGCATATGGTCTGCTCAGGGATACCTAGAAACAAGGCATTGTGGTACAGGGGAAAAATTGCCTCGCTCAACCTATTCTCTACTGCACAGAAATGCAATTCTTGCAAAAAATTGCAAGAAAATTACTTGTTATCCATCAAAGGTAGATTGGAAATGAAGTTCCCTACTGCACAAGGGAGAATTTGTATACTAATGCACCTCACAACCTTTCAGTGAGTTTAAAGAGGAGAGTAGGCTTTCAGCCAGTATTCACAGCAAGTCAAATGAACCCATGAGTCAAGGTTCTATGCTTGTATAGTTGTTAAAAAGAGAACCTCTGATCTGACCTGGTCTCATATGGACATTAGTGAAGCTAAAAGCTGAAATTCTCATATGAAACAGAGCTCCCTTCTCTTGCTAGATAGAGTTTATTACTGGTTTTTTGTTTTTGTTTTTTGGGGGCGGGGGCAGATGTGTTGTAGAGTAATGTTCACCAGTTCATGAATTAATTAGCTTAAATTATGCATCCATTTGCATAACAGGTTATGTTTACTACTTCATATCCTGCATAGCAGAACATTAAGCAGCTTTAGTAGCTTTTGTTTAATTGCACAGCTGTGGGTAAAAAAAAACCCTGAAATGTTTACTTAGACATTGGAAGCATTAATTGCTTGAAATTACTCTCTAGCTACAGTTCACATCAGTCCTAATATAAGTATTAGTCACATTAGTAAGAACATAATCTTTGACCTTTTCTTGGTTTTGCAGCCATTTATAGTAACATTATCCCGAGTCATTACTGGTATTCTAGCTATTATTCATCCAGGGGGATTGTTGTGGTACATATGGAAATTGTAGAACTACACGTAATGGTTCCTGTCTTCTCCTAATGCAGACCTTTGACTGACTGGAAAGGCACTGTTTGCTAAAAGAGCACCTCTGAAATGACATCTGGAAAGCTGAAAGTTACTTGGATAATTGTGACCTGATATTACCCTACTTAGAGCACTGAAGGCATTTAGTGGTCATTGCCCTCCTGCAGTTTTTTTATTGGTCACTCTACTACTGCTCTAAGCTTGCTCGAAGCTTACTAGGTGCCTTGTGGAAAGTGTATGAAGCAGCATTATAATAAAATATACAGACAGTGGTAGTATTTCCAGAATAACATGCAGTGACAAAAGGAATGAATACTTTTGAAATAAAATGTTAAACGTGGTATAATCAGAAATTATGATCATTTCATTTATTTTAAAAAATGTGGAACCGTGTACATGCCCATTATTCTGTGTACTTTCTGACTTATAGCATACCTTCTGATTTTATCTGTATATGTGTAATTTCCTTTTTTCAGAAAATCAAAACTGAAAAGATAAACAAACAAAACTGACAAATAAACTGTTCCTGGCTGAGGTTTTGAAAGCCCCCCAAAAATCCTCAAACAGTTGTAGAGGTCTGTGTTTTATGGAATGCTTTGTTTATTTGTTTTTTGCTCCATCAGATTTGTTATTATGATTAGATTTTTGTTTTCAGAGACAAAAGGATTGCCTCAAATATTATGAGCCCGAAGATGAATATTAGGAGCCTTCTTTGTTCAGACTGTTGATGACTTAGAAAGTTGAATTCCTTCACCTGTAATCAAATTGGAATTACTTGTAAATGTTTACTTGAATGAAAGGAGTAGAGATTTGTGGCAGGATGATATGGTATAATATAATATCCTGTATTTTATATTTGACTCTTCCTTCATTGCGTGTGTATTTTTTCCTTCCTTCTGAACAATAGTCATCTCAATACTGGGACAGTACATCTGTGTGAGTCTGTTTAACGGTAATTGCTTTGGAAAGTAAATACTGCCTAAATGTCTGAATATAGATATCCTCAAACTGGGCTCAGTTAATTTGTTAAATGTAATAAAAATAAACCGCATCTCCTATGGCTGATTTAATTCCTTTGTCCTGCCAGCCTGTCAAGTACTTTGCAGACACAGCCATATCTGTTCATAGCCGCTCTTTTAAGCACAAGCTACATTATACAGGGAGATTTGTTTCATCTGGCAACAAAAGAAATCTATTGTTTTGTCATCTTTTTGCTATGTAAATTACCCGAGGCTGATGTTGAGCTTTGCAGATGTCAAATAACTGGCAGAGGTCAGGATCAAATCTTGCACAAATGCTCTGTCATACACTTCTAATATGCTGTTGTGTCATTAGTTCATATGCGCTAATACATGCGCTTTTGACTTTGAGTTGGCCGAGTACAGACACCATGTCCATTTTGAGAATTTGACTCACGACGCCCATTTCCACAGTGGCCCACCTGCCTTTACTTCTCAGTACAGTAAGACAGTGCCTTCCATATATTGAAACACTGTGATTAGTATTGTTATTTTAAACCTCCTTAATCGGGCTCAAACTAGCTGTTTCATCCATTCAGTCAGAACGTAATGATGATTTTATTAAGAATCGAAAGAGACTACGTGCCCAGGGATTGCCTGATTTGCACAGTTCCACAGATATGATATTTTTGCCTCCTGCTGCCGATAGTTTCTTTAAATTTTACATCTATCTATGGAGGGTGCCACAATCTCTAATTTAAAAAAAGAACTATTAAAGTTTGTTTTTTTATGCCCTTAGTCTCCACATACATACCAAGAAATCACCTCAAACTCATTATCAGACATGGGTACTGAACAATTTTATTCAAACAGACATGCTAAATTGAGTGCATCTACACTGGAAGCATTTGCATGTGGCCAATGTGGTGTAGTGCGCGTAGGACATGATGAAAGTGATTTACTTACTGGGTTCAGCAACACAATAAGAATCTCACTATTAAGACAAGAAACTGAGATGAAGTACTCCCAGCAGCCATCTGCCAGGCTGGCGTAGGAAATAGAAAACCCCATGTTGTTTGGCTTGCTGAATTAATATGAATTGAGGTAGCGAGTGAGACAAATCCGTCTTTGACATATGACAAAAGAAATAAATAAAACAAGACACACTCGTTTTTCAGAATAAACTATGTGTAGTGATTTCATTCTTTCTTTCTTTTTTACCTTTTCTGTCTTTAATCTTTTTACCCCCCCCCCCCTTTCCCGGTGTGACCCATCAGCACCAAGTGCGCCTCCACAGCAAGTGACAGTGCTGACAGTGGGAAACCACAACAGCACATCCATCAGTGTATCCTGGGACCCTCCTCCTTCTGACCAACAGAATGGCATCATACAAGAGTACAAGGTGAGCCCAGGCTTCTCCAGACTGAATAGTTTAGTGATTTAGTGATGTACAACCTCACAATGAAATCTGTCTGGTGTGTCTGTCTTTGTCAGATCTGGTGTTTGGCCAACGAAACTCGCTTTCATGTCAATAAGTCTGTGGACGCGACCATCCGTTCAGTGGTAGTTGGGGGTCTGCAGACCGGAGTGCAGTACCGTGTAGAGGTGGCTGCAGGCACCAGCGCAGGGGTGGGGGTCAAGAGCATACCCCAGCTCATCACTTTGGGTAATCCACTCTCTCTTTCTCACAAACACACACACACACGCCAAACCTCGAGTCAAATAAAATGACCCCATGATAGGAGACCTAGGTCTCTATCACAGATTGGGGGTCTGGGAAAATGATTTATCAATTTATCGCACTTGAAGAAAGAAAATTGCGCTTTACAACGCCAGATGTCTATAGAGAAATCAATAGCAGTTCATTAAGTGTAGTGCCTGGTAACACTGTGCCAAGTACTGTTAGCCATATCAATAATCCTCTCCAATATGTGTGCAGCTGGCGCTAACAAAGTAGACAGTGTTTTTGTAGGAGCTTATCAGCCTATCACATCTTATGAAATCACTAAAGGATGCCCAGCGTATATAAGCCCAGAATCAATATGGGAGCTCAGGCCAGATGCTCTTCATCTGTGACTTTTGACTGATATATAATAACACCCTAACGCCCAGAGAAAGGGAAACAGGCCTGTGGAATGAAGCTTAATGATGGGGGGGTGGTTCCTGCTGGAGACTGTGAATCTAATTTCACAGCACAGTAGCCGCAACAGAAAATCAAACTCTGTCAGAGCTGCTCTGTCAATCTTGTGTCTTGCAGCTCAAGTTGATAAGTGCACTGCTGAATTGATTAACGCTATATTGGATGCACTGATGCTATTTTTTTTTTTTATCTCTTTGTGTTTGTATTTTTTCACGGGCTCTTCTTTCGGTGGTCTCTGTAGTCCATGTGTCCTGGTTTGATACATAGTGTGTTCCACACTTCTTTGATTTGCTTAAACTTGTACATTTTCACCATATTTATTTATCTCTATGTCAAACATTGTGATGATATTGAATAAAATTTTGTTACAATTTAATTTCTCTGAACTGTATTTTTTCCTGCTCAATATTTTTTTTTTTAATCCCATTCAGTCACTGATACTGAAATTAAAATTCTAAATTCTTTCCCTTTTCTCGCTGTGTGGGTGTGTGGTGCCTCCAGGTGCAGAACTGAGGGACGTAATGACAGGATCGGACAGCAACAACAGCATCTCAGATGTGGTGAAGCAGCCGGCCTTCATCGCTGCTTTGGGAGGGGCTTGCTGGATTGTCCTCATGGGCTTCAGTGCCTGGCTGTACTGGAGGAGAAAAAAGAGGAAAGGACTTAGCAACTATGCAGGTAAAAAAAAAAAAATATCAATTTACATGGTTCTGCATCAAAACTGGCTCACAAAGCAAAGTAGGTCTCTCTCCAGCGGAAGCTGATGCCATCGCAGATGTGACTCCATTTGAGCTGGCTGAAACGCAGAACAAAGAAAATGTATTCAGCGCGGATGGAAATAGGCCCTATTTACTTTAATTCACTGTGCACTGATGTGCATCGACTGTGCTGCGTTCCATCAGCAGCACACCTCAACACTCTAATACATTCATGCGAGATAAGTAATTTAACATCCCCTTCCATTATCAGACCATGCCTGGTGTTGTTTGCACATTAACATGAGGTACATCTAGGTTTATGTATGGAATATTCTTGTATTCCACTGCGAGTCGAGCATGAAGCTGTGTGCAAATTTCATATTGCGTATTGCAGCTTTTATTTAGTGACTTGGGGAGAGAGCGGTGCGATTTCCTAATTCAGCAGGGATTTATGTGATTGAGGGCTGGTTTTCTGATCCCTTTCTTCAAAAACTGCAGGAGAGTTTAAGTCCAAACTTTCATATTTCCATTTGGAAAACAATGGATTCTTTTTTTTTTCTTTCTATAAGAACCATTGACTTAAAAAAAATCATTGATTTCTTCATTTTTAAATAATTTATAGCAATAGTTTAAAAATGCTATTGCATCAGAAATTGTCTTTCTTGTTGCACACGTATTGTTTCAAGATGTATTTTGGAAGGCTTTCATAAAAAAATAGAATTATGATGAGAGTGCAGATCACCTAAGGCGAGTAAAAATAAAAAAAAAAAAGGTTAAAAATGTCACCTTCATTTAAACTTCTCCCTCAGGGCAGTCAGTGTAAATCAGAAAATGCTGAAATGTTAACTGCGTTATTGCCCAAGCTTCATCAAAATATGATCACAGTGCTGACATATCAGTGATGGATGAACAAACAAAGCAAAAATGAAGGCACACAATCTACATCTTTCGAACACGAGAGCATTTTGAATCTTTTTTAATATTTCTACGCACTCTTTATGCCACTTGATATGCCTTCTGATACGCACGCTCTTTATGTCTCTTTAAATTGCAGTTCAGTCCTTCACCTTCACTCGAGCAGGTATGTCTTTACATTGTGCCATTATATATACAATATCCCGGCAATTTAGGTGCCTTCATTCTTGACAGCAGTAATGTATCAGCCATTCAAATCTACAGTCATGCTGTTGATTACTTGACAGTTTAATTGTTTCTCTCTCCTCCCTCTTTTCCCTCCAAGTGACATTCCAAAGAGACAGAGGCCTGATCCGCAATGGAAGGTGAGAATTTCTCCACTAAAACCCTTCAGAAACCCTACTGCTAAAGCTTCCAAGCTGACATTCCGGTTTCACACGGTGAACTTTTTAATGACTACATGCTATTGTAAAACTTAATATGAAGAGTTCTCTCCTGATGAATGGAATTTGCATTTATGCCCCCCCCTACCCCCACCCCCGCCTATTCATATTGTATCAGTGCACAATTTCCACTGTTGTTCACTGTGATGAAATCATTAATCACTCCTTTGAACTGGGAGCTACCAATTAATGCAGGTGTTTTAGTCACCGGCGCGCTTCTCAGTTCATCTGAGTGTGCCAGAGGTCAATAAAGGAGGGGAGAGGTGATGAATGTGCTGTTTAAAAAGCTTGGCCCAGAGTAAGTAGAGTCATGGGCTTTATGTGGAGACAGAAGAACAATGCGTCGGACCTTGAGACTCCTCTCAGTGGCCGATAGAATTTTCAGACCGCTCAAAACGCCCAAAGCAAAGACAGCGTGTCCACAGAATATCAAAGTATTCCTGAAAACAACAGGGGGAAAGAGGTGAATTTGCTCTGTGGACAGTGGTTTGCTCTACATATTTGTTACACCTAAGCAAGCAGATAAGCCCAAAGCCAGAACAAATGTTGCAAGTAATAGACTAAAAATAAACGCTTTCTTGTAAAAACCCTTTCGCATGAGTGCCTTTCTCCACACTGAAGTTGCACAGACTGCTCGCGCTACTGTGCGTAGCTTTGCCCTGTTCTTCTAAGGAAATATATGTAAATATATGTATTATGCTTGTGTAGTTTAAAATGGAAATTATTGACGTAATTGTTTGAACACCTTTGAGCCATCACCAAGTCAGCTGTGAACAACTCCCCTGGCACTTGGTAAATCAGGCTCAGTGGAAAACTCACTGTAAAGCTGCACATTAAGTAAACATATGCAGACACACGGTATGTTTACTTAATGTGCAGGCATGTGAATGTTTTGCCATTTTTACAGCAGCTGATATAGAGGGGGTGTAAAATGTCTTTTTCTATTTTTTGTTCCTCCCTGAATTGCTGCCCACAACTTTCCTACCTTGAAGCGAACGCCTTTATTCGTGGACGTTGTACTTCACAAAGACAAAATGACATGGTAGCGTTCCTAAACCACTTAATGGGCTTTTGCTGTCTCTGTTGCTATGGAGACTGAGCAGCAGTGTAGCTGATCTGCCAGAGGCTGTCCATGATTCTCAATTTAAAATGTAAATTTCTGTTGTGCTAAGGCTCTAAAGTGGATTTAGTGTGTATTTAGGCCTGCCTTGCTTCTCCGGGGAGAGTTAGGGGTGGTAGAGTCGAGGGGAGGCAGAAGTCTGATTTATAGACTTGCCATTTTATGTCTCTCTGTTGTTTATTGTTGCCTGCGTGCTCGGCTGCTCCACGGGCGAGAATATGCTGAATGAGTTTTCGCATCAATTTGTTGTTGATGCAGCAGGAAGAAAATGAGCAGGGCAGGCTGAATATTTAACAATGCCACTGGTTCTCTGGTGTCCTTTCCACCTCTCATCCACCTTTGTCTGACTTTAAACATTTTCTCACAGCCGTCCAGGGTTGTTAAAAGCAGGTGATCCAGGCCTCCCCTGGTTAGCTGACTCCTGGCCTTCCACAAGTCTCCCAGCTAACGGGGGCTTAGGGAGTCCAAAAGGCGGCAGCAACTTTGGCCGAGGAGGTAAGAAACATAAACAAGCCGGAGCGATGAAGAATACGGTTTAGCGATGCCTAGTTGGACAGTTTTGATGTTGATCCCTTGGGAAGCATGCTGACAGGATGTCACACTTAAGCACATATACACAAATAGGTTAACACACACACACGCACAAATTAAAACAGCCTTTAAGGGCTCTGTTTTACTAATTTGATGTGACAAGCCTGATATCTGGCTTAAATTTGCACTGTTTAGATATATTTTTTTCCCCATCATTCTTTGTCATGCTCTGCCATTGTGCGTTTTTCGAGGTTGCGCACAGTGGTTGAAGTATATTGGTTTCCATTATGTGTTTGTATGCCTACATGTTCTCAAAGTTCAATGGAACCCTGGTGAGCTTCAGGCTTTATTCGTGCAAGACTGTTGAGCTGAAGGTTAGCACTGTTTGAGCATCCCTCTTGTGAGCACTCCACCCGGCTCCCACAGAGCATTGCATGCTAATTATGGTTGTTGATAATCACTTTCATTTATATCAAGTCCATTTGAGAAATGTATTTAACTAATACAGAGTGCTGGAGCAGCAGGGAGTGTTAATGACCTTAAAGATCGTTAACTTCATGTCAACTTATCTCTCCATGATGCCTTTTCCATTTCCCTCCCCTCTCTGTGTTCATCCTCTTTTTTTGCCTCAGATGTTTTACCGTCTGCAGCGGTGGATAAAACTGGTACCATGCTGTCTGATGGTGCCATCTACAGCAGTATCGACTTCATGGGGAAGGCAGGCTACAGCAGCCCAGCACGAGGCACTCAGCCCACCCCCTATGCCACCACTCAAATACTTCAGTCCAATAGTTTCCACGAGCTGGCGGTGGATAGGCCAGATCCCCGCTGGAAGGCTTCTCTTCAAGCCCAGCAGGAAATAGCAAACCTGGGCTACTCGCTAACTGACAGACGCCCTGGCAGTGGTATGAGCCACAATGAAATGATCAAGATCTTTGTTTATTTGATTGTTTTTGGTTTTGTTTTGGGGGTTTTTCATTTTATGATAAACTCCTTGGGTCTCTGTGAACTAAGTGCAGCATTTTTGCAGCAAAATCACAAGCACTTTTTTCCCTATCATTTAAATTACTGGGAGCTAAACCAAGGAAAGACCAAACTAGGAAGGAGAGAATTTGTTTACATATTCACTAAAAATAAACCCTTAGGATAATGTCCTTAATTACTCTTCTGTCTTCATCACAATTGTACCCTGGGAGCTTATCTTGCCTAGAAATGTCACGCAATCATGACACATTTCTTTTGGGTTAATTTGATTAGATGGAAAAAGAAAATCCCTCAGTGTTTGGAGCTATTTATGTAGCTTCTATACATTTAGTAAAGTCGTGGAGGCTTTTCTGTGTGTGTTTTTTTTTTTTTTTTTTTTTTTTTGCACTATAGGCCGTGTGCTCAGTTAAATGTCAAGCTAACCACAGATAAAGAGAACAAGTGGAGAAGCAACTTAAAGTGGTTTGCCGCAGGTTTTGATGCCTATTTAAGAAATGTCAACATTTAGAGAATGTTGTAATGTGCTGTCAGCACACAGAAAAGACGAATAATGAAAACTGGGTAGAAGACAGGTTGGGTAAAAGTTCACTGAGAGAAGCAGCAGAGAAAGATAGAAGGTACCTTTTTCCAAGCAAAACCGAATGTGTGTGGACTGAGAGTAGAATAATACTCTTGCGTATTTTGTATAGAGGAAGCTAAACCTCTCTTTGCCTATCCCCAGGTGCAAAGGCTGGGAAGAAAAAGAAGCTAAAAAGTGGAACAAAAACCTCTAAATCAAATGGGACATGTTGGGCTAATATGCCTCTGCCACCACCACCCATGAACCCCCTGCCTGGGACTGAGGTTGACCTTGACTGTTACCCCCAGGAAAATCATGGAGGAGGGTAATGTACTTTCATATGTCATCAGTCTCTACTAAAACACATAAAAACAGAAAAGAAACACATGCAAACACAGAGCCTGCACTTGGGCTCTGTGTTTGCCAGGCAGAGTGTATGCCCCATTGCTCAGGGGGTTGGGAAGCGAATCTGTAACCGGAAGGTTGCTGGTTCGATTCCCGGGCTCTCTGTCCTGGTCGTTGTGTCCTTGGGCAAGTAACTTTACCCTACCGCCTACTGGTGTTGGCCAGAGGGGCCGATGGCGCAATATGGCTGTGGAGCTGTGGCTACAACTGGAGCTTGCCTCCACCAGTGTGTGAATGTGAATGAATGGTGGCATTGTAAAGCACTTTGAGTGCTTTGAAAAGCGCTATATAAATCCAATCCATTTTTATTATGCATGGGTGGCTTTGTGTTATTATCAGAATTTGGATATAAGCTTCCTGTTTAATTTACCTTGTGAAAGAAAAAAAAATTAGCTGTATTAGCCTGTTAAACGCTAGTACCCTAGTTAGCTGAGTGACTGCTGGCCTACATTTAGCCCTTTTGGCTAAGACTAAGCTAAAGTCTTTGTTATGAAAAATGGATGTGGTCGCCATGCTGCCCCACACTAATTTCTGAACTCTGCAATGTGAAGCCTTTTTGTTTGTTTTTTGTCTATGCCATGTTTTTTCGAGTTAGAAGTGACTATATATAAACCACATAAGCGCTAACAGTGTGAGCTTAGTTAGCAAGCTGTATCCTTAACATAGCTGCTAATAAGTGCTAATTAACATATAAACAAAATACTATAATTTAACTCAACAAAATGAAAAAGTTCTTGGAGTGAATTAAATTTTTTTGTTATTTATCTAACACGATTTCTACAGTTGTGAAACCACTGGGTGTGTTTGAACCCAACCACTAGCTGGGGATCTTTCTGTGCCTGTGTGGGTTCACACCAAAGATATCCATATTAGGTGCTTGTCTTTGGATTATGATAAATCCAAACAGGGAGCTGGTTTAACGGGGGAGGAGCCTCACAGCTGAAGGCTCTGTCTTCCACTGTATTGTTGGAAGCTCTAGGAACCACACGTAGGCCTGCACTTAGAGAGCAAAGTGCTCTATTGGGATAATATGATATGATGATGAGATATGACAGATTCTGATTTTTCTGAATGGTGGCTAAAGTGCTACTCTCTGTGTGGTAAATCTTCTAGAGCAGATGTCTTCAGGACCACATTTTTCCATCCTGAATTGCACAGTCACACTGGCATTGTAAAGCCTAAACATATTGTGGCTGCTATTTTCTGATCATTTAAAAGTGTTGAGAACACTTTTGTTAGTGGAATATTTACAGGTATTTTCTGTCTTTGGCATACATCTCTAATCAGTTATTTAGGAAAGTCAATGTGATGATTAACATGAAAACATTTTGTCCACATGCCAGATATGACAACGGCAGCTGGGCACCACCAATGTCTGTCCAGACCTACCGCCATCAGAATTTGGAAAATGAAGTAGAGGAAGAGAGAGGTCCCACTCCTCCCCTGAGAGGAAGGTCCTCCTCCCCGGCGGCAGCTACTTTTAGTCAGCCTTCGTCATCCTCTCTCAGCTCTGCCCACCATGAAGAAATGCAGTCCATCTTGCAGGCTCACTTGGATGAGCTGACTAGAGCCTACCAGTATGAAGTGGCCAAGCAGGCATGGTAAGAATCCCTTGTAAAGCTAGGTTTTATAAAAATGTATTTATATAGCACTTTTCAATATACAGTAAGCATCACAAAATACTTCACAACCAAAATGCTAGAACACCAAACAAGGAAATGCAAAGATGGCTTTTTAAGACCACATTTCATATTCTTGTTTTTGGTAATAATGTGAAAGTGTGAAAGCTTTGCATGGCAACGCAGATCCATTCAACTATGTTTGCTTTGCTCTGTTAGAGAGATGCATGTAATTTTATTCATTTTATTCTGGTGAAAGTTTGGATTTTGCATATCAATGGAAAATGTCTGAGCGCCTTTCAATGCTGGTATTTACATGTGTCAGCTCAGACCTGCGGCCCGTGTGTCTTGCAAGCGATAAAAACATCTCTCCATTGATTACACCTTTGATGGAGCATTGGAAAACTTGACAAGTCAGTGGCGACATGGAGGGTAATGACTGGGTTTAGTCTTACATGCTGTTCTGACATCAGTAAATAGAGTTAGTAATTATGCATGCATCTCCTCTATGGTGGGATGCGAGCCATCATGGAGGACAGCTGTGCGGGAGATAACAGGCATGTTGGTGACAGCCCTGCCCATCCAGATATCCTTAATCCAGTCCAATTACAACTCCATTGTGTTAGCACAACACACACCAGCACTGAGAAAGTAATCAGTAAAATCACTGCAGGCATTCATAGTGTATGCACATTGCATCTCCACCCTCCTGAATATCTACTGATTCTGAATTTGTAATGCTTGTTTTGCAGCATTTTTCGCACCCATTATCTGACTTCTGTTGCTTTAAAAACATTTTATTAATACACACTGTTTCCCCACATTTGAATAGGCATATGAAAACCAGTCCAAACGTGTCCAACTCTCCAATCGACTTCATGTCTAGTACACTGGGTTCTGATTTGGGAACCACTCTCCTTTCTGAAGACGAGGAGGAAGAGGAGGAGGAGGATGAAAGATATGCTGTGGTGTCAAAGAATTTGTGTGGCTTTGAATACACTCCTGGTCACAGCATGGATAACCTTGAGGGCTCAGGTAAAAATCTTTTAAAAATTAATTGCTGTCTTCATTTTTAAGTGAATAGACCACTGAGTCATTGACACTATGAGGTCATGCTCACATGGAAATATGGGTAAATAATAATGCATAGGTGCTGAAAATATGACAGATATTAACATGCATGCTCTAATTATATTTTTATACGCCTACACCAAGTTCACCGGTAGCGCTTTCATTAGGAATATGGATAATTAGTGAAACTGAGGTATGATTATTACTTATTTATGGCGCCCATTTTTAATTCATAGCTTTCATTTGATGTGTTCTCACTGAAGGCATGCCACTTTTAAGAATAATATTATTCCCATGTAAGAATGTAGTTAGTAGAAGTTTTACATCTTCAGTATAGTCGATGAAAAGCATCGAGAAAGCAAGAAAGTACAACCTCTCTCAATTTCCAAATTTTATGTTGGAGGACATAACTAAAAAAACATTTTTTTAAAAAATACAACCTCAGATGAACAACAATGCATTGCATATTACACCATGTAGCAAAAAATAAGCCAAAATGCTGAAGCAGTGTGTGAAAAACTAAG